TTGATTCGGTGACTGGGGTAATCAGGATGGGTGTGTCAGAGGCTGTGCGGTTGGCGCAGGATAGAGCAGGGTTTAGAGCTGTTGTGCATAGGGTCACTATGAGTCAGAAACGACTAGATGGCACATAACAACAACAAGGCTGAATCTGTTTGTTTTCTTGGCAGTCCATGGTACATTCAATACTCTTCTCCAGCACCACAGCTCAAAAGGCATCAATTCTCCTTCTGTCCTTCCTAGTCATTGTCCAACTCTCTGATGCATAACAAGTGATAGCAAAGACCATGGCCTGTATCAGATGCACCTTAGTCTCCAGAGAGACACCAATGCTCTTCAGTACTTTGGGAGAGGTTCCTAACAGCCGACTTTCCCATCGCAATACATCTTATAATTTCCTGGCTACTGGTGCCAAGAGTGTTGACTGTGGAGCCAGCAAACTAAAGTTGTTAACAATCTCAGTCTCTTCACCATCCATCCTGATGCTGCCAATTGGTCCAGTGGTGAGAATCTTTGTCTTCTTTACATTGAGCCTCAATCCATATTGAAGGCTGCAGTCCTTGACCCTCAGCAGCAAGTGCTTCAGGTCCTCCTCAGTTTCAACAAGCAGGGTTGTGTCATCTGCATAACGCTCATTGTTGATAGATCTTCCACCAATCCTGATGCCACATTTCTCCTCATAGAGCCCAGCCTCCCAGATAATCTGTTCTGCATACAGGTTGAAAAGGTATGGAGATAGGACACATCTTTGGCGTACACCTTTCCCAATTTTGAACCATGCAGTATTTCCTTGCTCTGTTCTGAAGACTGCCTCTTGGTCCAAGTATAGGTTTCTCATTAGCACGATCAAGTGTTCTGGGATTCTTCTCAGAGTCAGCCACAGTTTGTTATGATCCACACAGTCAAACGCCTTTGCATAATCAATGAAACACAGACATTCTTCTGGCCAACTTTACTGTATCAAATAAACCTACCCTCATTAACTCAGTCACTGAATCAATCCATCTCTTCGAGGGTCTTCCTCTCTTGTGCTTTCTCCACTCTTCCACGTATGATGTCCCTCTCCAAGGACTCGTCCTCCTTGCAACATGCCCAAAGTATGTCAAGCAAAGGTTCAGTATCCTTGCCTCCAAGAAGCAGCCTGGCTTCACCTGTAGGAAGAAAGTTTATTTTCTGGCAGTCCATGGTTTAGTCAATACTCTTCTCCAGTATCCCAGCTCAAAGGCATCTGTTCTCTCTCTATCATACCTAGTCATTATCCAGCTTTCTGACCCATAGCAAGTAATTGTGAGGACCATATCCTGGATCAGGCACACCTTAGTCTTCAGACTGACATCACTGCTCTTCAGTACTCTGAATAGGTCCCTGACAGCAGACTTTCCCAATGTAATTCATCTTTTGATTTCCTGGCCGTTGGTACCAAGAGTATTGATTGTGGACCCACGCAAACTAAAGCTGTTAATAATCTCAATCTCTTCACTGTCATCTATCATGATGCTGCAAATCGGCCCATTGGTGAGAATCTTTGTTTTCTTGATGTTGAACGTCAATCCATACTGAAAGCTGCAGTCCTTGACCTTCTGCAGCAAGTGCTTCACTTCCTCCTCTTTTCAGCAAGCAGGGTTATTTCATCTGCATAATGTAGATTGTTGATGAGTCTTCCTCCAATTTTGATGCCACATTTTTTCTCATAGAGCCCAGCCTCCTGGATGATCTGTTCTGAGTATTGACTGAAAAGGTATGGAGATAGGGCACATCCTTGGCATACACCCTCCCCAATTTTGAACCATGTAGTGTTTCTTTGCTCTGTTCTTATGACTGCCTCCTGGTACAAATATAGGTTTTGCATAGTCACAATCAAATGTTCTGGGATTCCTCTTCTCCGATTTAGCCACAGTTTATTGTGATCCACACAGTCAAATGCCTTCACATCGTCAGTGAAACATGGACATTCCTCTGGTACTCTGCTTTCACCTGAGATTCATCTAATATTCACTATAATATCCCTGGTACCACAGCCTCTTAATTTTATTTTATTATTTTTGTGTGTATGTGTGTGCCATCAAATAGGATCTGACTGGTATAGGAGGAGATTGCCCCTCCTTTTCCAGCAGAGCATCTGGTGGATTTGAATCGTGTACCTCTGGGATTGCAGTGCAGCTTTTTGTCACTAGGTCACCAGAGCTCCCTGTACTACACAGCCTCTTGTAAACCCAGCCTGCACATCTGGTACAGTCAGAAAAAAATAAAAGGGCCAAACTCATGCAGCATTTCTTAAGCTGAAGGAATTGAAGAACAAATTTAAACCTCAGGTTGAAATAATTAAGAATGTTTTGGACAGAATTTTAAAGAATCCAGGAAGCATTAAAAGAATATGGAAGAAGGATACAGAGTGATGGTTTATTCCTTCTAATGGAAGTATGGTGACTTTCAGCCATCTTGTTTGTTTTTTCCTTGAATCTGTTGTTTTGTCACATTCCTTGAGAGTCTGTTTTTATTGTCATATAGCCACATTTCTTGAGGGTCAGTTTCTATTGTTATATTGTCATGAGCTTTGTCAAAACCATTTCTGATTGATCTCCTTCATCAGCATTTCTTCTGCCATTCCCTGTCAGCATGATGTTCCTTCCCAAAAAACTGCCTCTTCTAGTAACATGCCTTCAGGGGGCATCTTGGCTGTACATTCTCCAAGACATATGTGTTTGTTCTTTTGGCAGCCCATGAGATATTCAGTACTCTTCTCCAAGACCACCTCAAAGTCATCAGTTCTTCTTCTGTCATCCTTATTTGTTGTCCAGCTCTCAGAGGCATAGCAAGTGATGGAAAAACCATGACCTGAGTCAGGTGCATCTTAGCCTTCAAAGTGATATCATTGCTCCTTAGTAATTTGGAAAAGTCCTTGCAAGCCAACTTTCCCAATACCTCTCCTGATCTACGGACTACTAGTACCAAAGGTGTTGATTGCAGATCCAAATAAGATTAAATCATTGACAATTTCAATCTTTTCTCCATCTATCATGATAGTGCTTCTTGGTCCAGTGATGAAGATTTTTGTCTTCTTGATGTTGCAATGTAATCAATATTGAAGACTGTGGTCTTTGATTTTCTGCCCAAGCACTTCAAGTTTTCCTCACTTTCAGAAAACAAGGTTGTGTCATCTGCATAAAGCAGGTTGTTGATAAGTCTCCTCTAGTCCTGATGTTACATTCATCTTCATAAATTTCAGTTGCTGCTGCTTTTTTTTTAAATATTCTAGCTTCTTGGATCATTTTCTCAGTATACAGATTTAATGAGTATGGAGAAAGGATATAATCCTGATGCATACTTTTCCTGATTTTAAACCATATAGTGTTCCCTTGCTCTGTTTGCACAACAGCTTCACGGTCTTAGTATAGGTTTCATGTGGGCATAGTAAGTGTTCTGGGATTCTTCTCAACCTTAGCCATAGTTTATTATGATCCATGCATTCAGACACCTTGGTATAGTCAACAAAACCCAAATAAACATTCTTAAGTGAGGGAAGCCGAATATAAAATTTAATAATAGTAGACCAAATGCTGTATCGGGAAATGAGGGAGGCTTAATACAAGCTGAAGGTCACCTTGTGACACTGGGGCATTCTTTAGGAGGTCACCTTGTGACACTGGGGCATTCCTTAGGAGGTCACCTTGTGACACTGGGGCATTCCTTAGGAGTCAACATTGTTCTTAGTTTTTATCAAATGAATCATCC